TTTCCCCCGGCCCCTTATCGGAGAACACCCAGCTAGTAACCTAGCAACCAAACTTCAGCTAGCGGCAGTCAGGAACCCAATCATACAACAGCAACGATGAAAGATTGTAGCCGAGGCAGCAGAGCTCTGAATATAGCTCTTGACACACACACACACACACACACACACACACACACACACACACACACACACACACACACACACACACACACACACACACACACACACTCTCACTGTCTCTCTAGCTCTTGACACACACACACACACACACACACACACACACACACACACACACACACACACACACACACACACACACACACACACACACACACACACACACTTGTTGTCTAACACAGTTCTGTGCTGTTATGTTCAGTCATCGTTCTTATGTTGAGCATGAACACATTTACTTTGAAAGTAATTCAATAAACAACCACATCTTCAACCTGATGGCAAACTTTAATATTTTAATATTATTTTAAAGAAGAAAAATGTATATTTAAAACTCCTTGTTCACCCTCAGGCTACGGCTCCATCTTCTTCCCCGGAGAGGTGAACGCTTCGGGGCTGAACCTGGACGACATCGTGCACTTCAGACGCAAAGAGGTCATCGTTTACCCTGACGACAAGAACAAGCCCGCGGAGGGGGAGGGGCTTAACAGGTGAGAGGCGGGGTCTATCTGAACTGTTCATCCACTTCCTGTCACCACCTGTCTCCCTCTGACCCTGTATGTGTTCTCTGTTTCCCCTCAGGAAGGCGGAGGTGACTCTGGACGGCGTCTGGCCCAACGATAAGACGTCGTGCGCTCAGATCCGCAGCCCGGAGCGTCTGGCGGAGATGAACTACGAGGGCCGGCTGGAGAAGGCCTCGCGCAGACAGGGGGCCCGCTTCCTGGAGTACAGGACGGAGACCGGCTCCTGGGTGTTCGAGGTCAGAGACCCTCAGTCATATTTCATTGCCATACGTACAGAGCTACAGACCTTTTTAAAGCCTTGAGTTTATCATTCTAATTGAAATCCTTAAATCTCCCTCAGGTCGCCCACTTCTCAAAGTACGGCCTGCAGGACTCTGACGAAGAGGAGGAAGTGCCGCTCAAATCTGACCCCAAGAAGCTGAAGACGATGATGTCACTTCCTGCCTCGCGTCTGCAGAAGCTGCTCCCCCCCGCCCAGCCGCAGGTAGAGCAGCCTGCCTTCATCACTCACCACCACCATCATCATCCTCACCACCACCACTGACCCACCAAGCTTTAAAGGAGCATTTCTTATTTATTTTTTTGCATTTTAAGAAAATATTCATCAAGTATAACAAAATAATCACATCTACGTATATAGATAGATTAACTCAGTGGTTCTCAAAGTGGGGGGCGCGCCCCCCCAGGGGGGCGCAGAGGCATGACAGGGGGGGCGCGAGAGACCAGGAGGAAAAATGGTTATAAAAAAAAAA